CCCCAGCGTGTGCAGGGTTCCCAGGTTATGTCCAGCACAGAAGGGAGCCCCCTGAGGTCTGGGGAGGCCTCCCCGGCCTGAGGTCTGAAGGGCACCCCCCCGCCCAGGGTACTGGGAGGTGAACGGCTTCGGCCTCTTCGGGATCTACAAGTCGGACTTCGACCGCGTCGGAGGCATGAACACGGAGGAGTTCCGGGACCAGTGGGGCGGCGAGGACTGGGAGCTCCTGGACAGGTGACCCCCACCTCGTGGAGGCAGGCCTCCCGTCTTCCTCCCTCACCCAGGGCTTGCATGCCCGCAGAGCCTGTGCGCACCCCGTCCCGAAACCACTCCCCACGCCAGGGTCCTGCCGCTCAGCACAGCCCTGACCCCCGTCTCCACCCAGGGTCCTGCAGGCGGGGCTGGAGGTGGAGCGGCTGCGCCTGAGGAACTTCTACCACCACTACCACTCCCGGCGGGGCATGTGGGCCACGCGTGGCCGTGGCCGGAAGGGCTACCACAGGGCACTGCCCCCCCCTCTCTGGCCCCCCCAGGCCGCAGCCCCTCGAGCCCCGCCCCAGAGGGGCTGCCTGGACACGAGCAGGTCGGGCGGCTCGTCCCCACACTCTGTGCGATGATTTCTGTGAAATTTTGCCGTAGCGATGCCATTGTTTTCAGGATTTCCGTCTGTTCCATTTTTTATTCAGAATGAAATGAAATATTTTTTTTAGTTCTGACTGGTCCTCTGCCTGGCTCTCTTGGGAGGACAGGTGGCCTCGGCGACGCCTGTGGGTGGCCCGGGCCCTGCTCCTGATGGCCTTTCTGACCCGCAGCTGCAGTGGTCACGCTGACCCCTCCCTCCACCTCCAAGACCACTGTCCCTTTCGCCTCCTTTCCCTCGGAGCTTCTGGGTGGGGCCGGGAGGGGAAGGGCCTCGGACATCCTCTCTTCCACTCTCTCCAAAAATCAATGCGCCCTCGCTGGTGTGGCTCCGTGGATAGAGCGTCGGCCTGCGGACCGAAGGGTCCCGGGTTCGATTGGGTCAAGGGCACGTGCCTCAGTTGCAGGCTCCTCCTCGGCCCTCCTGGTCGGGGCGTGTGCAGGAGGCGATCCATCGATGTGTCTCTCTCACATCGATGTTTCTGTCTTTCCCTCTCTCTTCCACTCTCTCTAAAAATCCATGGGGAAATATCCTCGGGTGAGGATTAAAAAAAAGGAAAGGGAGGCGGTCACACTTGGCCTCCTGGGGTGCCTGTAGGATTAGACGGAGTGGGACGTTTCCCACACCCACCTGGTGCTGGGCAGTCCTCATGGACCCAGCGAGCGCACCCTCATCACCCGTTTTCTCGGGACTCTGCCGGAGGTGGCATCGGTGACAGGGGGAGGGGAGGAGACACCCTGCCGGGAAGGGGACCAGCTGCCTATCTCCCAGCTCGCTGCCCCCACCGGGGCCAGGCCACCCCTCCCCACTGGTCTCTGCTTCCTCTCATTCCCTCTCCTCACCGAGGCTGGTGCTCCTTTGAACACAAACCTGACAGCCCCTCGACTGGCCTTTCCCCCGGGGCGGCTCCCTGACCCCCGCGGCCTCCAGGACGCCAGCAGCATCGTGTTCCTCTGCGACCTGCACATCCACTTCCCCCCCAACATCCTGGACGCCATCCGCAAGCACTGCGTGGAGGGCCGGCTGGCCTTCGCCCCCG